CTTATTTATGTGCTTGCCTTAATGAGACTTAATATTGTAGATTGGAATCAGCTGTCCTCGATCTAGTTGCAGATGACAGTGCGGGCATTCAGAAACAAAAGTCAGTATATCATTGGGACAAGGTATGTGAATCAATTGTGCGTTAATGTTATCGCCATTGTACTCAAAATCCCCCTATTTTACTCATGGATACGTTTTATTTGCAGAAAAGTAAAAAATACATCAAGCTAAACAATGGTGAGCGTGTTGCTGCAAATGGAAAGGTACCTTATCTTTGTAACACCTTTTCTCATCTTTGGTTGTTTACTCTATAATATGGGGTTCTCTTCTTTTGACTTCTTAATATGACCTTATGCCTCATGTTTATATTCTATACATGATTATAGATAAAGACAGAGGGTGGTGCAAAAGTGAAGGCCACCAAGACTGGTATATATAAGAAGTGGAAAGAACGCTCACACAATAAGATAGGTCATAAGGGGATGGATAATGAAGGTGATTCTTATGGAGCCACTAGTTCAGCAGGTGTGGATTTGCTTCTCTTGATATTACATGTTTGTTTGAGTTCCTGTATGTTGGAGATTAGCTAGTCTCTACTATCCTGATAGATACAAAGGAGGCTGCATGGGCTGGTCTTACCTTGCTTCCCTAGGAAGGATCATTGCAGCTCAATGCTGTGAAGTGTGCCTAAATATGTTCTAGCTTACTTGAATTCTATTATCTGTAACTTCTCTGAGAAAAGGTGTTGGCTTTTGCTAGTTACTAGTTACAAGTGGAATGGAATGAGGTGAAGGTATAAAATAATTGGAAAGCCATCAACCTACTATCAGGCTAGTTTAACAGGTTTTTAGAAGTAGCATGAGGCGGTTAACTTTAATTATATGATAGTTATGAGCAATGACTTGTTTTAGATTGTAATTCATTGTTTCCATCTTGTCATTGGATTCATCGAATGGCACAATGCATTCTATGGAGAAACGAAAACAAAAACTTAAAGGAATGATTTAATTGTAGGTCAACCATGCCTGTAATTACTATTCCCGTGTCTTTTGGGAGGGAAAAAAAAAAGGAGGGAGTAATTATTTTTGGAACGAATTTGTACTTGTTTAAATCAGATCTATCTCAGTAAAATTAGGTAGTTTTCTTGTAATTGCTGCATTTTTGGTAAGTTATTTTTGTAAAGTTTCCTGTGCAACGAGAAAATATTCTTACATAGATCCTGTCAATAAAAACAATAGCTGACAAATCCAATCATGGATAAACTTGTCAGCATATTAGTAGACTTCTGCGGATTTCATGTTTACGTGCTTCTATTCTATGTTCGATCACGGTTGGATTGGTCAAGTAGGCTTTTTGGAAGACAAACATTCACCCAGTGAATCTCTTGTTCATTGCTTGCTGGTGGTGACTGTTGTTTTGTAATGTCATACTGGCGCAATTTATCCGATGCTAATGACAAGTTGAATGTGTAAACTAAATTTTTTTCATCATTTGACTCTTTCTTTCCTTCTTTCAGGGCACTCCCGAGGCGGTCCCCGGAAATTTAAAGGCAGCAAGAAGCAGCATTCAGTGCCAAATGCTCATGTGCGTTCAGAGATCAAAGATCTTGATCAAATTCGAAAGGACAGGCAGAAGAAAGCTGACAGACTTTCTTATCTGAAGAGCCAGTCTGCTAAAAAGGGTAAAAAATTTGGTAAAAATGGGAAAAAAGGAAAGGGTGGTGGTGGACGTGGAAAGAAAGGCAAGGGAAGGTAAGATTTTGTCAGTGACATTTTGGAGGAAATGTTACTTTGTTTGTTTTAAAATATTTAGGAGCAGGGAAAGCGAGGATCACAAAGAAAATAGGAAATGAATTAGAGAAATGTGGCTCTCTGGTGAAGTGAGGAGAAAAGTAAACTGTATATTTTTTCCCTGGGGGCAATTTTGTTGGTTAAATGCAAGGTTTCCATTGTAATGTTGTGCAGTTCTCATTCTTGAATTTTGCCCTATTCTCCAGTGCTTTTCTCAATCATGACATTTTTAGTTCATTTTTATTTTTGGTGTAAAATCATTTTATTTACTTTGGCAAAAGCAATAAAGTCCATGGAAACTGTAAAATGTTGGCGGGTCTGAAAAATTATAAAAATTTCGGGCTTTGACTCAATGGCTTGTATGTAATACTCCATCATTCTGGTTCAAAGTATAAGTATCAAATAATTAAATCACACAACCCAAAAGATTGGTTAAAATTAATTAAAAATAATAAATACGTAAGAGATGTAATTTGTTTTTAAATCCCTCTTATTTATGGAGAGTGCAAGTGGGAGAAATAGAGTGAAAAGAGAAATGAGAGAAAATAAATGAAAAAGTAGATGAGATGTATAATCAATTATGAGTAAAAATAAAAAAAAATGTATTAAGTGATAAAATAAATGTAAACTGTATCTTATAAAATAAAATAAAAAAGTAAGCCTCTTTAAAAATTTGATGCTTATATTTAAAATTAGAGCAGGTTAATGTGTATATATACATAATACATGATAAGATAAAGTTAACATTAATTTATAACCTCTGAAATTGACACTAACAACTTTGTTTTCCTACTTATGAAAAAGAGATATGTAATACTGACATACCAAATTTGAATCAATTTTGCAAACTTGATTTTGGATATAACAGTGGGGACTTTTTTTTTTTGGGGGGGGGGGTGAATTTCAAATGTCTACATTTTTTCACAGCAATTATTTTAATTTTATTTGGTTATTTTATAAAAATAAAATTTAAATTCATTTATTTTAAAAATTATCAAAATATTAAAACATAATTAGATATAGGTAACATTTAAATGATTTTTTAATCTAATCTCACTCTTTTAAAATATTAAAAGCTTTCTATACCTACTGTACTGTTAGTTAATCCACTCCTAAATGATACATATATATAAATTTAAAAAAAAAATTATTTCATTGATGTATTTGATGTGATATTTATTTACAGTTTTTTTATAAATATTTTTAAATATGCAAAACTAATTTTAAATATAGAGCGTCTCTCATCAATTAGTATTATATATCCTTTAATTTTTTGATAAAATATTATATATCTTTTAATATACTAGTTGTGATTCTCAATATAAAGTTAGGTAACTAATTTATGAATATTAAAAAATTAGTTAAGCTAATTATTTATAATAAATATATATAATTTTTTAAAGTATCATTGTTAATCATATGCATTCAAATCATCCTATTATTAAATTTTTAACATGTGCAATTATCATAATCGCTACTACTCCGTCCTTTGTTATAAGATCCTTTTAACTAAATTGCACAATTTAAGAAAACAGTTAAAATTAGTTAAAAGTAATTATGTAGCAAATACAATTTTTTTCAAATATACTCCTATATATAAATAAGTAGATGTGAGAGAATAAGAGTGAGACAAGTGAAAAAAAGAGAATGTATTATATGCATTAAACTAGAGATAAAATAGGTAATAATGTATTAAATATTCAAACAAACTCAAAAAGGATCTTATAAAAAAGGGACAAATCTATTCAAAAAATTAGATCTTATAATAATGGACAGAGGAAGTACTTTGAAAACAAATAGATACATATGAGAGACAAAATAAATTAAAATCTTATATTTATAAATAAATTGAATTTTTAATTATATTGAGAATTAGAGATATTTGGCCTTGTTTAATTTTTGACTTCATTTGTCTCATATCCTGTCTTATTTAGTTAAATTCTTTGTTCCAAAGTTTTTCATGACCTATAATTGATTTTCTAAGTTTTGAAAAACAATGGTACATTCTACTCTCACGTTTCTTTCTTTATTTGTTACCTGTTCCAAAGTTTGAACTTGAACTCTTCATTTACAATTATGCTTATTACTCTCTTAAGTAAATGGAGCGATTTGATTTAGTAAACAATGAATTTTGATATGGGCAGGGTTTAGGCGATAAGGTAGGCGTTGAGGGTATCATTTTAATAATGTGATTAGTCTTCTTTTTTTTTTCCTATTGATTTGGTAATTTAATTTAATTAATTTCAGTTGTAGTTTTTTTGTTTTTTGGTTTTTGGTGTTGGATTTGATCTAGAAGGTGTACTGAAATTGTAGGGAAACTATTACCTCTACAAACAATGGCAAATTCAAAATGTTGAGCTAATGGAGATAATATATATATATATATATTTAAAGAAAGTAAATTTATAAATATGAATAATTCTTTATATTTTTACTCCTCTAGTCCTTAATTAAAGACCTGATTATTGGTTGGTTTTGGTCTTAAATATAAGACCCATTTATCATGTTTATTAATTTTCTCTAAATTACCCCTATGGATACTCTTTCAATCATAATTAAACAGAAGAATTATATGGGGTATTAAGAAAGATAATTATAGTGTTTTAGAAAAAACATATCATATTTTTTATAATTAAATAACTTATCTAATTTTCTTAGTCTAATCAAATTAATTAAATAGGTCTTATATTAACAATCAGAGAAGTATCTTAAATATATACTTGGATTTTTTGGCTCAATGTGACTCTTATGTGTAAAGTGAGGTATATAAATAAAAATTGAAGGTTTAAATTTGTTTATTATATTTATAAAGGCATAATATTTTTTAAAAATTTACAAGTGATATTATAAATTTTTTATAAGTAATATATATAAATTTATAACAATTAGTGTTAGTGTATTTTGTGCTTTTATCTTTAAATTTAATTTAATTTATTCATTTTAATATAAATTTAAATTCAAAGTGCATTTGATTTAATAATTTAATACAATTTAATTATTGTCATGGTAAAATATAAAGGTTTATTTGCTTTTTTGTATTTATTAAAAGAAATGGAATTGATTTGGTACAGAAAATGCCGAAAATGTTTTTATAGAAAAACACACAAGAAAGACACAAAGACAAAAACGCCCTTATAGAAAAGGGCTTGCTAAAACAAAATACGCTCTCGGCTGGTTGGAGGCGCATATTCATTTTTTTGGGCCGGCATTCCACAGTCCACACTTGTTGAGCTCGCCGTCGGACGCTGTCCGCCGTTGTCAGGCCTGCGTGGTTTTTTCCGGCTGGTATTGAAGAAGGTACGAACCCTAGAGTTTTGTCTTCCCCCAGAATCCAACCAGTTTGATTTGTTTAATCTGACTCTGAATCTGGATTGGAATTTGTTCCCCCCGCTCATCTGTTCATCCTGCGTCGGACGCCGTCGCTCCGTTTCTTTCTTTGTTTTATTGTCTTTTCATTTCAATTAATTGGAAGATCATAAATTGCAAGAGTGCTATCATTGTCATTCTTCAGTGGCTTGGAGGAGTTGCCTGAATCATTTGGCTTACTAAGGCATTTTCGTTAAATTATCTGGAATAAAAATTAAAACCGTATGATACGGACTATGCATATTTCAAATATCAGCCCCACTAAGTGCAATATAGGTCTGCCTATGTTTGCAGATATCTCCTGCCATCGTTTGCAGTTGAGCCTCTTTCTGTGTCAGGTTCATCATTTTTCTCGTATTTGCTGCTGAAATGATGCTATTGTAGGCTCTAATTGGTAAAACTTGTCATTCACTTCCAACCTTATTGTTAATGTGCTCATTTGCTTCATATGATGATAGCTCTCTCTCCGATGGCCCTACGAATTAATAATGGGATTCCTGAGAAGAAGAATTTTTGAAACAGTTCTTACCTTCTCATTGGTTCCACAGCTAATAAGAATGTAAATATATTGAGAAAAATATCATACAAAGATGGAAATTAGGACTTTTTATTTTGATATCCTATGTTGAATGAGTGGAACTATGACTGCAGAGCAGATTAACACAAGAAAATGAACAAGGATAAAATCTTCAAGCTAGCAAAGGGCTTCCGTGGAAGAGCCAAGAATTGCATAAGGATAGCTAGGGAAAGGGTGGAGAAGGCCTTGCAATATTCCTACAGGGACCGCCGTAACAAAAAGAGGGACATGCGCTCCCTTTGGATCCAACGGATTAATGCTGGCACCCGCATTCATGGAGTATGTATTACATTCCATTCTCCACTCGCTAATTATTAGTTTGCAGAGGATCGATCCTCTTGCTTATTAAAGAATTTTCTTTGCTTAGATGAATTTTCCTTTAATGAATTTAAAAATGTTAAGAATGTCAAAAAGGAGGATATTGCAGAATAAAGAGGTCCAAACAAAAATGAATTTCTGGATCTTGGAAGTAATATAGTTGGCTCAGAAGGAATTTGAATTGTTTGTTGCTTTTAGTTGTTGTTCTGGCTTGTGGGGGGGACATTACATGAATAAAACATTGTTCTGAATTGTTTGATTTTATTGATATCCACCTTTTGGTATCCGTTTCTTCTTTACTTCATTAATTAGAGAGTGGTGCAATAAAGAAAGTATTACTTTGTTGAAAATTTTGAACTTTTTCCTTCTTTTCTATTTCTACCGGAGTCCCTTGTAAGTGAATGCCTGTGTTCAAATGTGGCGCTATCTTGGTATCACTATGTGTATTCATGTCTTATTCATCAAAGAAACTATGAATAACTATTTTTTATTGAAGTTATTTGTTGTGTCTATTTTTACTGCTGGTGTTTCCATTTCACAATTTTTGGCTACATATTTTAAACGGAATCCCACCATATCCTCCTTTAAATCCGTTCCGTCTAACATGAATTTTTATTAGAGAAGTTAATTAAGTTAAAAAATTGCATTCCTATGTGAACAATTTTGCTTTCAAGAAAGATTCCTTTAGTTGAAGTCAGACAAATTCTGGTTTTGTATATCAATCTTGCATATCTGTAGAATCTGAGGAAAACTGCCGTGCATAATATTTTTTGCGACTCAGTGATCATACAGCACATGTGGTGATTGCAGCTTTTATTATGTGTGGAGAAATATTAATGTTATCAGCATTTTGCATGATCTTCAGGGAAAAAGGGGGTTGAGTGTTCTTGCATTGAAAAATTTAGTAATTAAAAGGTGACATGCTAGAGTAGCAATTGTGTGAGGTATTGAGCCAAACCATGCATGATAACCACTTACTTGGATTATGTTAGTTTCCCTTCCACTACGTAACACACAGATCTCCAAACATTGGTTGACATTAGCTTCACCTGCAAAATTGGTTAATTTGTTCTCTTATTGAAACTATGATCTCGGGTTCCGAGTTCCCCCGTAGTCTTACCGCCCCCTTCATAAACAATGCAGCCCTCTTTTTGGCCTATGAGTGAGCCGGTCAACTGCTATCATAATGACGTCATATCCAGTGACTTGGGTAAACTAGTGATGAAATCCATACTGCATATGGGTAGGAGCTGGGATGTCCAGTTGGGGCTCATGGGGTGGTGCTTATAAGTTGCGCATTAAACCATGTAGACTTGCACGTTTCTTTTCATTCTTTTGCAGTCTACTACCCTTGGTTTAATGAACTTTTCTCGCAGTATTAGATATATCTTCGTGCATCAGCTCTGGACTGTTCATTTTTCTGATTCTTTCTTATCTGCTCCTTTGCTTTTATTAACCATCTTGGGTGTTCAACGTTCTTACTCTTGGTCATTTGTCTCTTCGCTTTTATGAACCAGGTTAACTATGGGAACTTCATGCACGGGCTGATGAAGGAGAATATCCAACTTAACAGAAAGGTTTTATCAGAGATTTCCATGCATGAACCGTATAGCTTTAAGGCCTTGGTTGATATTTCTCGAAATGCTTTCCCAGGAAGCAAAAATGTGGTCATTCCTCCGAGAAAGGTGGCCGTTTAAAGCATTTGCCATTTAAGCAGTGGTTTAGTTTGTAACAGAATCGTCAAGTATCCTTATCAATATACCCCCGTACTTAGTTACTAGGTGATCTCCTCATTTGCTGGAATGTTAACATTATATAGTTACGGCGCTGTTCCTTTTTTTTTCGGCCGTTAATAATTTTTGATAGTTGAATTAGCAGTGTGTTATGAGTCCCACATTGGGGAATCTCACAAGTATTGTGGGGTTTATAAGTTCAATGAGTTCTCTCTCTTAATAGACTAGTCTTTTGGGATTGGGCTCTCTCTTTGGGTTTATGCTCATCACATTGGTGCTTTTATTGAGAGTTAACCAACCGGAAAGAGCAACCTGCAGAGGGTTTTGATCGGTAAGAAGACCGAGTGAAGTGTCGTAAAGTGGAACTACCAGGGACGTTGGCTTTTGAGAGGGGTGCTCTGTTATGAGTTTTACATTGAGAAATCTCATAAGTATTGTAGGGTTTATAAGTTCAATGGGCTCTTCTTCCTAATAGGATACTCTTTTGGGATTAGACTCTCCCTTTAGACTTATGCTTATCACATTGGTGCTTTTATTGAGAGTTGACCAACCGGAAAGGGCTACCTACGGAGGGTTCTGATTGTTAAGAAGACTGAGTGAAGTACTGTAGAGTGGAGCGACGTCAGCTCTCGAGAGAGGTGCTTCGTTATGAGTTCTATATTGGAGAATTTCACAATTGGAGAATCTCACTAGTGTTGTGAGGTTTATAAGTTCAATGAGTTCTTCCTTCTAATAGGCTAGTTTTTTGGGATTGAATTCTCTTCTTGGGCTTATGCTCATCACATTGGTGCTTTCATTGAGAGTTGGCCAACCAGAAAGGACTACTTGCGAAGGGTTCTGACTGAGTAAAGTATCGTAGAGTGGAGCCGCTGGGAACGTTGCCTCTCGAAAAGGGTACTTTGTTATAAGTCTCATATTGGGGAATTTCACAAATATTGTGGGGTTTATAAGTTCAATAAGTTCTCTCTTCTAATATGCTAGTCTTTTGAGATTGGATTCTCTGTTTGGACTTATGCTCATCACACAGTGATGTTGAACTCTACGCATTTGTGTTGTTTCTCAAACTAGGAGCTACTAATGTAGAATTAGTTGTTAGTCACTTGTGTTAAATGAAGCATAGTCCTAACTTGATGTTGCATGAGAGAATGATAAAAAGGAGAATTATAATAAAGCTCTAAAATATAATTACTAAAAAAAGTTTTAATAACAATAAAGGAGTTTATAATAAAAAGTTTTAAAATAGTAAATGATAATTATTTACTTGTTATTAAGACTTATGAATAATAATTTTTTTTTCTTGGAATCTCATTATAATTCTCTCATGATAAAATGAGTTATGTTTATTTATAAATTATAAATGGTGTGATTCGTTATCAACTTTACACACACATATATATGCTATATATAGTACTTGATATAAGAGTCAGTTAATTAATTTAAGTATATTAAGAAATTAATTAAGTTAATATTTGTAATGAATATCTTTTTTTTCAAATATTCTTGGTAATCATGTATTAATAGTCAGAAAAATAGACTGAGTTTGTTAGGCAAGCTTGTTTAAACTCAAAAATTGTGAGGGTTGGTTTTGAAATTTTTCTCATAAAAAGGGAAATAGGTTTAAAAGGACTGGCTCTGTAAAGTTGAGGGTTTAAACAGACCGGTCTTATAGGACTGACTTATGTAGAACCTTTTATATATATATATATATATAGTTTAATTTTTGTGTAATTATAATATTATTACTTTTTTTATATTGTTGCTGATATTTTGAATATTTAGTTGTTATTATCATTTTAAAATTAAATTTCACATAATAGTTTGATTTATTTGGTTTTAAACAATAATTTGTCCAATTAAGTTTTAAAAAAGGGTTAATTTGGATTTTAATAATGATTTAATTTATATTATATGTGTTAATATTTTTAAACTATATATATTTAATAAAACAGTATTTTTTATACTTATATAACTTGTGATTCTATAATTTGAACTAAAAATTTATAAATTTCAATAGCAATGCTTCTCAAACTAAAATAAAATAATAGTTAGACTATAAAATCTGAAAATGAAATCCTTATAAAGAAGAAAAACTTGTGAAAGAATTGCACACTTATGAAGAAGAGCAAGTGATTATAGTGATGATGAAGTTTAAAAAAATTAATAACAGTATTTATCTATTGTACATTTGCACTATCAATAGAACTTTTGGATGTTGTTGTCTCATTAATGAATGTTTTTTTTGTGGGTAGAAAATAAAGTTTAGATGAGTTGGGTTTCGGGAGCTCACCAGGGTAAGGATATACTTCCAGGTCGTTGATGAATGTTTTATATATTATCGGATATTGATGGATATTTATATATGATGATATTTTGTATGTGACTAAGTTTTATTCATATTTATGTTTTTTATTAATAATTTTATTGGTTTGTTTTTATTTTTTAATTAAAAATGTGAGAAATATATGAAAAAAAACTTTTTCTTGAACGAGTGGAAAGCCTGCGGCCTGGTCCTAAGACTGTCAGCTTAAGGGCTGATGTAGCAAAATTGAGATATTTTTAAAATTTTGGCCCGTAGGGCCGGTGCTTTCAAGCCTGTCGACTAGGACCAGCTGAACCTGTATTCTCACCTTTGCATGTATATGAGTTAGAACTAATATTTGATAAAATATTTAATATGTGTAACTACTATAATAACTATTTTAAAAAAATAAATAAATATGAGAGATAAAATAGATTGAGATTTTATATTTAGAACTAAATTGAATTTCAAATTAGTTTTTATATTAGGTGTTAGTAATTTATTTTAAAAAAGAAAGGGGTTGGTGCTTACTAATGAGTTACAAAAGGGATCAAATTAATGGCCTCTTACTGATACTTACATAGAAGTTTTGATATGACTTGTACTCTGCGCTTGCATGGTGAGAAAATAAAAGAGGGAAGGAAAAATGGCGGGTCAAAAAAGGATGTAGTCCTCAGCACGGGAGAGAGACTTTGGGGAGGAAATGGCATTTTACGGTGCTCTTCCTGGCCCTCTCGCACGATATTCAGTTATTCACACTCCATTTTTCGCTCTGGCTCTCACTTGCGACGGCTAGAATTCCGATTACGATCGGCGAAGGGTTCCAAACCTCTCTCCACCCCCGCTCCCATGGATGCCAAGCCCCTCGATTCCGAACCCGTCGACAACCCCTCTCGCTGAACGGCGAAGGATTCCAAAGCCCTTGCTCTTGTTGAAAGTGAGTTTTCTTCTTTCTCGCTGCCTCTATTTGCCTTTCCCTTCTCTGTTTCATCGGAGATTTATGGAGACTTTTCATTTTCTAAAACGATTTCAATTATTCATTTATGCGTCTATCATGAATGTGGACTATGTAATTCGCGGTGAGATGGATGGATGGCGTACGGGGCTTTTTACTGTGATAATTGTCGTTGCCCTTTAGATTCTGAATAGTTGCAAATAACAACGTCTTCATCTTGAACGAAACCTTCTCTTTCAAAATGTTATACCTTTGAATTGTTTTTTAACACACACACATGATCCGAGCATTGCCTATGAAAACATCATAATCAATAGGCCATGAGTAGATAGAGGGGTTGCAAGTCCTAATCATGTTTCACAATGTTGGACTCGTAAGACTCTGATTTAATTATTGCTCTGATTGCCCCTTCTTCCCCCCCCCCCCCCCCCACGATACTGCCACATTTTGCTGATCTAGATAACCATTCAAAGTGCCGTATAACCCACTTGAATGGAAACATAGAAACAAATGCCGTAAGTCTTATCCCAAAAGCTAATAATCTATATGTATGTGGGCCCTTATTAATTAGTCAATTAGCATAAGGTTGATGTAATTTTCATTATGAAGTAGGCAGAATCTGGAGAACATCTAATGACAGTGACAAAACCATTTTATTATTATTAAGAAAAACAAAGAAATCCCCACTGACTGCAGTTGAGTGTTAATTTCTTGAGCATGAGGCCATATTTCCTCTTATTCAAACATAAGGTACACATAAAACATTGAAAAAACGGATACATATTTCTTCAACATGCAAACATAAAATACACGCTAATTTATTTTCCAAGACATTGAGAACCTTCAAATTTTGCCCATTTTCCATTTCAAGTATCTTTCCACAATGTCTAATCCACAGAATTCCTTTACCACAGCCATGGTTGCTGGCACATCCAAGTGGAATGGTTTATCAATTGCATCTGAGTTGCTCCATGAATGAAGCTGTTTTCTAGCCTCCTTGACAGCTGCTTTAACAGCGCAATGAACTGAAGCTGCTAGAAGTAGTGGCGGCTCACCAGAAGCTACATAAACAAGATTTGAAGTATCCTTTAGTATGAGGACTGTTAAGCGGGAAAACCATTTTGTATGTACTTATACTAGATTTTTTTTTCCTTATTTTTTTTTAAAAAAGAAAAGAACAAGGCACATGCTGCTTATTGAAAGATATACTGTAAAGGAGGCTCTCATGGCCAAGCAACTTTACAATATGCACCATCAAGCGTTTGTTCATTGGGCATTTCATATCTTCTGTGGAATTATGGTGTTGAGAATCTATGAATTGAACCTGATGATGAAGTTGAACATAAAGAATTGATGTTATACGTATTATACTGGCGATTGAAGTTTAACTTAACAAACTTCAACTACAGAAGATCTGTTCTCTACTTTTTTAGCATGCATGTGTCAAAGAATCAAATTCTCAAGCAGAGGTTGACGTATAAATCCAATACCATGATATGTTTTCGTTCATACATGGTTCAACCGACTTCAAAAAAAAATTCCAAGTGAAGAAACAAATTTAGGTGTACTAATTTGTTAAGAGATGCATTTTACCCCATTTCAACTACGTTGGTGTAAATTAACCTACAAAAATCAAACTATTTTACAAGCATTTCTACGTAGAAACAGCTACTGGCAAATAAAATTTGAACTAAAATGTCATACCCTTAGAGGAGAGAACGCGATTTTTGTGATGTCCACTATTGATAATTTCAACATTGAGCTGCTTAGGTATAGTGTCTAATGTGGGGATTTTGTAATTCCATGTTCCATCTGCTAACACTAATCCTTCATGATTTGTTTCATATTCTTCAAGCATGAAAAACCCTAACCCTTGCACAAATGCTCCTTCAATCTGCAACAAGTAAAAATTATTAGGTCAATTTGGGCAACTTAAAAATCCATTCATCTATGATCCCCTCTTAATTATATTGAGTGGCTGTGCGAGGTTAAACCCCATGGAGGCTTATAATGATCTTCTTATTCGTATAGTTCTTAGAATGATAAACTTATTTTTAAAAATAGTTGTCTCTTTAGAATTTCAGTTTTATTCCAAAATATTTTTTATTATAAAACTTTAAGAATTAAGAATTTTTAAAATCTGACTCCTTATTGAGTCCTCATTCCATATGAGAGAGAGAAGGTAGTCAGTGAATTAGTACAAATGTACTTTTAGCTTGACACGAAAAAGTAAATAAATTTTAGTAAGATGCATTTCAGATTTTTAAAATAGAAGCTAACTTCTTAATTTAAATGACGTGGCTTGTTATAGATTTTATATCCTTCATTGATGGATTTTTGTACATTACTTTAAATGAAAATTATAGAATTTGAAATAAAGAGTATAGCGGATAGAAATCTTAGCTGGCTCACCTGTCCTAAATCTACAGCAGGGTTGAGACTTTTTCCACAATCATATATAATATCTGTTTGCAGAACAAATGTTTCTCCTGTTAGAAGATCTATTTCCACCTGCAAAATATTCCTTGACCTTTAGCTTAGCATTATTGATAATCTGATGCAAAAAATATGACTTCTTCCAAAAACTCAAATACATTTGACCAAGACAGCCATTCATGAGCTTTAGAAAATATCACTGTCCGAATAAGAAATTGAACAAGGTATAAGCCTACCTCACTCACTGCAGCACCATAGTTGAGGTAACTGTTGGTAGTATTGCCAGGGTAATAAAATGAAGTTGCTGATAAGTTCACAGATTGCGTATGTGCCTTCACAAGGAGACATTGTTGATTACAAGGTAGTCAAATAATGTTCTTGGTGGTTTTTATAGGTTTTGAAAACAAAAATATGCTTTCTATAAATTTTGCAAAAGCCATGAATCTTATGTATACAGAAATTGGCTGACACATAATGATACAACTCCTACTCCTATGTATTGTAGAGACCTCTCATGCTTTGCAAAGGTGGTATGCATCATCCTCATAAATTCCAGAACTAGTCTCTTTTATGGTTTATTCCAAGGCCTTCACAATAATAAAATAAAATAAAAGAAATTATGCAAATTTTAAGAAAAAATTGTCTTTATTATGAAAGCTTTTGGTAGTTACCACGTGGTTGTTGAAAAGCACGTCTACCTTATCATCAGAACATGAAAAATAAGGATGACTTTTTTCAACCTAGAAAAAGAAAAATCATCCCGTGTATACCTGAGAAATAAGTGTCTCCCATTTGACAGAACCCGTCTCCTTCTGCAACTTTTCCTTGAGCGGCATTAACCTCTCAACCAAGACATTGCAACTAAGCCTAACTGCTCCACAACTTGACTCTGATGTAGTGCTATTAGCTGTATACCCTCCTTGAATCAAGCTCAATGTATCAGACTGTATGACACGTATTCTATCCAGGAGGTCTTGTGGTCCATCACATTGGATCAAACTCAGAGCATATGCAGCCATTTGCTTCACCTTAGTCCAAAGACCTTGACCTATTTCAATCCCTCCAACTTCAACAACAATTGACCCGTCGCTTAGAATACTTGTTCTTCCTGGTAATGGTCTCACATCCAGTACGTACACAACAGGCACACGAGATACACCTCTTTTTTTCCAAATGTTATTCCTATTAAACTCTTTCACAGTTTCTCTCCTTTGGTCATATCTTGCAGAAATAGCTAACTTGTTCCACATTGAAACTAGGGTATAGTCAAGAGGTTGCCCTGCAGAATTCTTGTAGAATGTTGAGAGACTGTTGTATGTGTGGAAGTTAGTGCTTCTCACATAATCTACATCTAGTGAAAGTGTAGATGCCACATGTTCTATTATAGCTTCAGCAACATATGTTCCTTGAACATCCCCAGGGCCTCTCATTATAGATCTACTTGGAAGATTAGTCTTGCATACTTTTATATCAAAAGACAGAACACCCCAATCATATTTTTTAAGTGCATTAACCATAGAATATGGTATGTATGGAGATAGATCAGGATATATCCCTGCATCTATCAGTACCTTAATTTCTAAAGCAGTAATCTTCCCATTGTTTTTGAATCCAACATTGTAAGTTATCTTTATAGGATGCCTTCCTCCAGCCATTATCATATCCACCTTACGATTCATATACATCCTGACGGGGCGTCGTAATTTGTGCGCTGCAAGTGCACATGTCGTAGCCATCTGAAGGATTTAATTGTAAGTACTTACTATAAACAATCATGAACACCATGCATATAACATCCATTTTCTTTGTTGAACAGCAAATATAATTCTTTTGTAATCTGATATGTTATAACTATTTTGCTTCACCAAAAAGAAATCATGTATCTTGCATTGAAATTGACATCATGCACAATTGCTAGTCAGTTCTTCTAAAGCAACTTAAGAAACTCCCATGCTATTCCTACCAATTCTCACATTCATTGCCTGCTTTTAACAGTAAGCTATTCAAATTCAAATGTATGGTCAATATGAGCATAATTTAGATACAAAAGCAACATAATAAAAAGAATATGAAAAAAATAATAGTACGAAACTTGATACTCACGGGAAGGGATTTCAAGAACTTTCCACCAAAACCACCACCAACCCTTCTTGTGATTACACGAACATTATGCTGAGGAATATTTAGGCATCCTGCAATAACAGATTGTGGAACCTCTGGCCCTTGACATGAAGTGTAAACCACTAAGCAATTGTCTTCATCTGGAACAGCAAGTGCAGTTTGCGTCTCCATATAGAAATAGTATTGAGACCCAAGTTTAAGCTGGATTTTAAATTATTCAAAGAAATACACAAAAATTGTCAAAGCATTCCAAAATATGGATGCGAGAGATGAATGTGAAAACTAATACTTGAGACGTGATATTGGATTAAGAAAAAGTCAAACTGTTAGATGAAAATGAGTATGCTTGATATATAATTAATTCAACACATATTTACTCATAATCAAATTGAAGCTTTACTTTTGAATCAATGGTAGAGAAACAAAAAGGGGTGACAGGACCAGAGGGTTCTTAAAACAGAAGTCAGTTAGTTAATCAGGTTTGTCTGTCTATATTTCTGTTTAAAGATTGTTAGTAGGTTGCCAAAATTAGTTGGAGTTTGATCATATGTTTGGGCTATCCATGATAGTTTCAACAATTCAATGAAATCATCTCAGTCTTCTTCAATTGCATGGCTGTATTAGATTAGGAGCAAGAATGATTACACCGAGGAAAAATTAAATGTTTTCCATTTACCTCAGCAGAAATCTTGTGGTCTGCTTCTTCCATGCCTTCTGATATATCACCAACTTGTTGTGGTTGATATGTTGGAGGAATTTCGAAAAGACTTGATCTTTCGACGGCCTCTTCAACAGATAGAATAGGTGGTTCGAGATTCTTGAAATCATACTCAACAACCGTAGAGTTTGCTGCCATATCTGCTATTTTCTGAGTGTCTGCAACCTAAATAAAATCATGTAGTAAATAATAAGTAACAAAGGATCTCCCTTTTAGGAAGACCAAAGTGACGCAGTCATGCACTCACCAAAAATGCAACACGGTCACCAATACATTGGACAATCTCATCCGCAAATAAAGGTTCAACACCGAAGACAAACTTAGAACCAACATTTTCCCCACCATCAGGAATGTCTTTACTTGAAATGACTGCCCTCACTCCATCTTCTTGTTGGAGCTTTATATTTTTTACTCTTGCCAGAGGTTTCGTACTATAAATATATGCTCCATATAAGCAATTTGTTGGTGAAGGAATATCATCCACATACACAGCCTCACCTATGATTTATTTGCGAAATATGTACTTCTTAATAAAGTGATGTTCTATCACATAAATGTTAGCACAAAAAATAGAGATAGCCAAAATAAGAAAATATGCTTAGTTCATTGGATAAAGATTAGCAGAAGTATTGAAAATGAATTATATGTTTATTTGCTAATCACAATCAACTTCATTCCTGCCTTGAGGCATATAATAGTGAGTAAGATTAGGAACCAAGAATTTGTATACAAAAGCTGTTGCAAGTTAGGAGCTTGGGAAACCATATTCAATCATAGCAATCTATACTTCGTATAAACAGCAATGAAAGAATGCGTAAAGCAAACACAAAATTTAAATAGCTTAAACGAAGAGAATAGGATTTAGGTGCTTAAAACTTAGTGTTACCAATAGAGGATTCAGGTAATCTGTGATGGAACATTGAAATTGCATGCCGCAAGAATTTCTAGAATGAACATATTTCTGAGTGTGACAAAATGGTTGGTGTGAAAGATGGATTCAAACTTTAGCTAACGAGTTGCTATATTTGTTTGTTAAAACATTTGCTTACT